ACCAGAAACAACAGGCTACCCACTATATTCAGCTAGCTTCCCTTTTGGGTGTGGGAGCCCAGGGAACCAGGACACATGTAGGGTGGGTCTTTCTAGCCAGGGAACTCAATCAATGTAAGTCTGCATAGCCCTAATCCTGAAGGCTTATCTCTTAGCCTGCAGATCCTGTCAAACTGACCATAAGCACCACCACCATAGGGCTGCACTGCTCCCTTGGGGTCATTTCATTTCTTAATTTGAAGAACTGGAGAGGTGTGCTATGAAGGTCATAGTGATGGGAAGGTCGATCCCAGCATCATTCGTGGATACCTGGGGGTAAAGGCAACCAGAATTCAAGAGGAAATAAGGACAAATTTACCACTCTGAAAAAAAGGAAGTCTGGAGTGAAGAGGAGAAAGAAATAACAACTAGAAACTGTTTGCAAAAGATGTTCTTTTACCAGAGAAGACGATGCTTCAGCACGGGTATAGTTAAAATACTAATAAACATTGTTCCCATTCCTAAGTTATTGGTTTTACAGAACAAAGAAGCAGCCACTTGTGAGTGATTAAAAAAGTAATTGCCAAACACAAAGCACACGGAATCAGTCGTGGGTTTGGGCAGTCAGAAACACTAATACCTCAAGAACCAAATATCACTCCCCCTCTGCCTACAGCCTGCCTGAAATTCTTCTACATGAAATTCAGCAAAACTCACCCTGAGCCCCAAGCCATTTCCTGGAAGCCTAATTCCTTTCACTAAGGCATTAAATCATTTTATTGCAAACACCACATGCTTTCTCCTTGCTGGGAATGCTATTTCAAAATTCTATTGCAAACAAAATGATCCTTTGTGATATTTCTTAATAGTCCACCCAGTTTATTGCTTTCTAGAATTTCTATCGTTAGAGGGGCCTCCTTTCATCACGCCAGCTCCCTAGAAGAACTCATCTATTCCCCAACTGCCTGTCGGGGACCAGCTAGAAGTGAGCCTGTCACAACAGAGGTGTCAGTCATGCCAGCCCCACGGTGAGACTCGAGCACTCACAGTATTTTGAAAATGACTTGGTCAGTCCCCAATCTGTCTAAATCAAATGCCCTTTTCAATCCTGGCCACTAGAGTAGTTTCCCAAGAAATAAGAAGGAGGACACAAGTCAAACACACACACACACACACATTTCAGCTACCAAGCTCACAGACAGGTACCAACACAAAGATAACTCTAATATGGTGATTCTCAATCTTCCTAATGCTGCGACCCTTTAATACAGTTCCTCATGCTGTGGTGACCCCCAAACCTAAAATTATTTTTGTTGCTATTTCATAACAGTAATTTTACTACTGTTATGAATTATAATGTAAAGATTTGATATGCAGGATATCTGAGATGTGACTCCAAAGGGACTGTGACCCATGGATTGAGAACTGCTATTCTAGATGGTTCTTGTAGGCACCCAAGAAAACTAGGGAAGAGCAGAGTCTTTTCTTTTTTTTTCTGTGTATTTTAAGAAGTCATTTGAGGCCAGGCAGTGGTTTAAACCCAGCACTGGGAGGCAGAGGCAGGAGGATCTCTGTGAGTTTAAGGCCAGCCTGGTCTACAGAATGTGAATGTTTTCATACTGTAAGCATAGTTCAGCAAACAGAAAAACTAAAGATGCAAAGGGCAATTTCTTGCCCCCTGTTTGAAGGGTCCAAGACTAAGAATATAAAAATGTAGATTCCAGAAATAAGAAAGTAGAAATAAATAAATATAAACTTGTAAGCCTAGGAGAGTGAAAACAGACTGTCAACAGCTTTCTCAGCAGCTTAAAGATTAACGATCAACCGTGGGTTACTCTGCTTTACAACCCATAGCTCCGTGTACAAGGCTTTCTGCAAACTGAGAGCTAGCCTACGGATATGAGCTGAGTCAAGTTTTAAGAGATACATGACCTCTGGGTTACTCATTATCCCTGCTACATGAAACTGGCAGCAACAAAGGGGAGAGCACAGGGCTGCAGTAAACACCACCTGGAAGCACCAAGGAAGACAACAGATTAAGTACAAACACTAATTTAACTGAAAAACTCTGTTAATGAAGATTGTAATGAAAGGCAATCTGAGGTTTGCCTCGAGATTGTAAAAATTCCTTTGTTCAGTCTTAATGCTTGGTACACCTTAATATAAGATGGTGGGCTCAGAAACTGGCCTTTGCCACAGTCTTACAAAATCCATCTCTGGCTGTGGTCTCAGCTAGCTGATAAGCTTTTTGTGCCCCATGGAGATTTTTTCTTTTTTTCTTTTTTTTCCTGGAATCTGATTTCTGGAATAAAGTTTGCTTCTGGTTTATTAGACTTTTGTGGTCTGTCCCCATCCTTGCACAACCCCCTGGACCCAACACTGTTCTCTCATCTTATCTCATCTTATCACTATTTAATAGAAGCTTATCATGGGTAATAGTTCAATGTGGATGAATTTTAAAACATTGATTGGCCTTCTGAATATTGTTTTCAAAGAGCAAGAGTCAACCACTCCAGCATGAGGGAGCCCTCCTAGTCCCCGACTACACACACACACACACACACACACACACACACACACACACACACAGCATTCATCAGTCTACAGTCAACCCTGCGTCACAGACTACAAGGGACTACAGCTTGAGGTCAGGTTGGTAAAAGTCTTGGCTTGGTTATAACTGCTTTCCCCAGCAGCTTCCTCTGTTGGCCTAGAGCCACACTTCATGCTTCTGACGGGAGGTACAGACTCTCACTTCCTTAGTACTCACGCAAACTTTTCTGGTCCAGGTATATTGAGCAGAATATCTGAGAAATGATCTTCTTTGCTGTGTGACAATGCTATTGTACAATGTAAAGATTTGTTACTCGTATTGGTTTAATAGCATGCTAACTGGTCAGTAACCAGGCAGGAAGTATAGGGTGGGCGGCCAGACTAAGAGAATTCTGGGAAGAAAAAAATGCAGAGACGTAGTCACCAGCCAGACACAGAAGAAGCAAGATGAGAATGCCTCACCGAAAAAAGGTACCAAGCCACTTGGCTAAATATAGACAAGAATTATGGGTTAATTTAAGTTGTAAGAGCTAGTTAATAATAAGCCTGAGCTAATAGGCCAAACAGTTTATAATTAATGTAAGCCTCTGTGTATTTCTTTGGAACTGAACAGCTGCGGGACTGGGTGGGGCAGAAACGTCCGCCTACACTTCTTTCTAGTGGAGGATTTTAAATGTCAACTGGAGCTTTTTTCTAGATGTAACCAGTGTCTGATACCTATGTTACTACCCAGGAATTACTTTTGAATACCTTCTCATTGCTATAACTAAAGTCACAAAGATCAAATTTCTACTGCCCAAACCAGATTTTTTTTTAAATCAGAAAATGATTTTAAAAAGCAAGCTTTAAACGGTGTGAGGATGTGTCACTGTGACTGGTTTTATAAAGAACTGAACAGTCAATAGTAGGCAGGAGAGGTGAGGTGGTACTTCTGGGGACAGAGAGGTCTCAGGGAAGAAGAAAGGTGGAATTGCCAGCTGGTCGAGAGGAAGCAGGGTATGTAGAAGGAGAGGTAAAAGCCACAAGGCACAAGGTAGTATGTAGATTAATAAAAATATGAGTTAATTTAAGTTATAAGAGATAGTGAATAAGAATAAGTGTTCATAATTAACAATAAGTCGCCACATCATTATTTGGGAGCTGGCTTATGGGACAAAGACAGACTTGTTACACAAGTTACTAATATTCCCTAAAATATGGGTCCATACATGATGACTAGGTTAACTACTAGTCGCTATTTCCCTCTGAGGTTAGCTTTTAAGATAACATGGCCCCCCCTTTCTATCTCCCAGTGTGGGTTTGGACAAGTTCTATTAGCTGCTCTGAGCCAGAGCCTCCCTTCACCTGCAATTCACAGATTTCCAGAAAGCTCTGTTTGGTTTGCGAGAAGCCGAAGAGAGTGCCATGAAATACGGTTGCTGCTGGCTCCAAAATGTGACTACAGAAAAGATTAATGGACAGCAAATCTACTAAAGAGGTGAACAATACCCTTGATCACAAAGCAAAGTCATGCCTTCATTCGGTCTGTTTGCCTTGGGTGGTAGCCAGGCCAGGGGAGATCATGGAAGCCTGTGGAGTAACGCTCTCCCAGGGGCCTAGCAGAGCTACCACGGATGACATGTGGCCATAAATTACAGGCTTATTGTTGAAAATCATACAACTTGTCACTTCCTTGCTTGGATAGAACAGTTTTATATTCTTCTAATTTACTTCCTTCTCTAATATTTGACTAAACGTTATACTTATAGCTCCCATGTATTAGTATTAGCCAAAACTATGGATGTGGTTTTCAAAAATGATTGAATATAATTTTATAAGTCTGTAGTTTTTTGCTGACCTTTCATACTAATATAAAATTGAATTTATACAGAATAACCTCCCCAAAATGATTATACAGAACCTAGAGACCCATTCTAAATAGATGGGAAAAGAAAAAAAAGAATGATATCTGCCTAGAGATGTTCAAATTAAGAGTATGTGTATAGGAAAGGAGTTGGCAATGTGTTCCTATTTTATATTAAAAAAAATCCAAATTTTAACCAGCTCAGTCATACCCAACACCATTACAAGCTTGAGAAGTAAACTGACTACGTCTCTGACAAACATGCCATAATGTTTGGTAGAGTTTAGACTCTAACTTCTAAACTTTAGAGGATTAGAAAAGTAAAACAGAAGAGGAGGAAATGTTAGTTTTGATGTTTTTCCTTGGAGAAGGAAAAGACCAAAGCCACGTTTCAGCAATTCAAGCAACAATTTACATTCTTAACAGTTGTCATCTAAGAGAAAGGGGGTGAGGGATACTTAAATCTAAAGCAGAGTCAGTCACAATGCAGACACTTCTTTGCCCTCCCTCGAAGAAAATGAACGAAACACGCCAGTCCATGCTTGCTAACGTTCTCAGAGAGTGGACTTTAGAGCAGCTGGAGAGAATATACTCAATTACCGAATTCCAGTGATGACGCGCGTCACCATCGCTAAGCGGCTCGACACGTCACGGAACAGCTAACTATCGGCATCGCAACGGACCTTCACCCGCAAACTTTACTTCACCTTCAAAAGGAAGCAGGCGGAGCATAGAAACAGGTACAGAAGCCCTATCCTACAGAACAGGCAGAGACACCCAAACCCCGAAACACGTCAAACAGGAGAAACTACATCTCCCAGAATGTAGCGCGAACGAGAACCCGGTGCTTGGTGGGATGTGCAGTGGCGCTGTCTGAAACGTACAGGGAAGTTTCCTGTTCAGGCCCCACTGCCTCTCCACACACCATAGTGTTTCAAAAATGAGCCAGAAGTTGCTAAAACAGCGCCGGCAGGTCGCTGTTATTCACAACATGATACTTCTGCAGCAAAGTAGTTTCTGAACAACTTCCGTTTCCGGTTGGCCTATTGCCTTGGAAACGAGGATGCACAACAATCTGGGTGAAGATGGCGGGGCTGAGCAGCTCGCAGATCCCGGACGGTGAGTTCACGGCCGTGGTCTACCGGCTCATCCGCGACTCCCGCTACTCAGAGGCGGCGCAGCTGCTGGCCGCCGAGCTGCAGAGGAGCCCCCGCAGCCGCGCCGGGCTGTCGCTGCTCGCCTACTGCTACTACCGCCTGCAGGAGTTCGAGCTCGCTGCAGAGTGCTATGAGCAGCTGAGCCAGATGCACCCGGAACTCGAGCAGTACCGCCTGTACCAGGCCCAGGCGCTCTACAAGGCCTGCCTGTATCCCGAGGCCACGCGGGTCGCCTTCCTTCTGGACAACCCCGCCTATCAGACTCGCGTCCTTCGTCTCCAGGCTGCCATCAAGTACAGCGAGGGCGACCTGCCAGGAGCCAGGAGCCTGGTGGAGCAGCTACTGAGTGGGGAAGGTGGGGAGGACAGTGGAGGGGAGAATGATTATGATGGCCAGATCAACCTGGGCTGTCTGCTCTACAAGGAGGGACACTACGAAGCTGCCTGCTCTAAGTTCTTAGCGGCCCTGCAGGCCTCTGGCTACCAGCCTGACCTTTCCTACAACCTGGCTTTGGCATATTACAGCAGTCGTCAGTATGCCCCTGCTCTGAAGCACATCGCTGATATCATTGAGCGAGGCATCCGTCAGCACCCAGAGCTAGGTGTGGGCATGACCACCGAAGGCATTGATGTCCGAAGTGTTGGCAACACCTTAGTCCTTCACCAGACGGCACTGGTCGAAGCCTTCAACCTCAAGGCAGCCATAGAGTACCAACTGAGAAACTATGAGGCGGCCCAGGAAGCCCTCACTGATATGCCGCCCAGGGCCGAGGAAGAGTTGGACCCTGTGACCCTGCACAACCAGGCTCTGATGAACATGGATGCCAGACCTACGGAGGGGTTTGAGAAGCTCCAGTTCCTGCTCCAGCAGAACCCGTTTCCCCCAGAGACCTTCGGCAACCTGCTGCTGCTCTACTGTAAATACGAGTACTTTGACCTGGCAGCTGATGTCCTGGCAGAGAATGCCCATTTGACGTACAAGTTCCTCACGCCCTATCTCTATGACTTCTTGGATGCCATGATCACTTGCCAGACGGCTCCTGAAGAGGCTTTCATAAAGCTGGACGGGCTAGCTGGCATGCTGACTGAGCAGCTCAGGAGACTCACCATACAAGTGCAGGAAGCAAGACACAACAGAGATGATGAATCTGCCAAAAAGGCGGTGAATGAATACGATGAAACTCTGGAGAAGTATATCCCTGTCCTGATGGCCCAGGCAAAAATCTACTGGAACTTTGAAAACTATCCCATGGTGGAGAAGATCTTCCGCAAATCTGTGGAATTCTGCAATGACCATGATGTGTGGAAGCTGAATGTGGCCCACGTTCTCTTCATGCAGGAAAACAAGTACAAAGAGGCCATTGGCTTCTATGAGCCCATCGTCAAGAAGAACTACGACAACATCCTGAGCGTCAGCGCCATTGTCCTAGCCAACCTCTGTGTCTCCTACATCATGACAAGTCAGAATGAGGAAGCCGAGGAGCTGATGAGGAAGATTGAGAAGGAGGAAGAACAACTCTCCTATGATGACCCAGACAAGAAAATCTACCACCTCTGCATTGTGAACTTGGTGATAGGAACCCTCTATTGTGCCAAAGGAAACTATGACTTTGGTATCTCCAGGGTAATCAAGAGCCTGGAGCCTTACCATAAAAAGCTAGGAACTGACACGTGGTATTATGCCAAAAGGTGCTTCCTGTCCTTGCTAGAAAACATGTCAAAACATACAATCATGCTGAGGGACACTGTTATTCAAGAATGTGTCCAATTTCTAGAGCACTGTGAACTTTATGGCAGAAACATCCCTGCTGTTATAGAACAGCCTTTAGAGGAAGAGAGAATGCACATTGGGAAGAATACAGTCACGTATGAGTCGAGAAAATTACGGGCTCTGATTTATGAGATCATTGGATGGAATGTGTAATTGATTAAGGCTGACAATGACTTTTATGACTTTTGTGTAAATTTTCAATTTTACCTGTATCTAGTTTTGCTATTTGTGAGACTTTGTACATTTTAGTGTAATACAAACACGATGAACTGTAACCTGCCCTTTTAGATTACCCATCAAGTGTAGGAACGGAGAAAGGTGTGTCTATCATGTTTTTAACTTTTTGGTCTGATGTATCTTGGGCGTATTTGTACTTATATTATCAGGACCAGAAAGTTCGGGACCTAGTAAACTGTAATGTCTTTTAGGAATCATCCCAGGGATTGTGTCTTCTCTTTGCACTACTCCCATGTTTTTGTAGAGAATTTAGAGTATTTGTCAGAGTTTTCTAATATAGTATTTTGTCCAGATTAAGTTCCCTAGGCAACAAATGGTTTTGCTAGTGTGCAAGATTCAGTAGAATCATGTAACAAACTACAACATGAATAAATACTACAAAAAGTATTATAAGAGAAAAACCCTGTGATGTCTTATTTCCTTGAGTTAAGAATTTGAATTTATGAACTAATTATATTGCTGCTGCTTTTTTAATACTTTATTTTCACTTATCTCTCACAACAACTGCGATCAGCGGTAACCAGAGAACTCAGTTAATTTTTTATTCTCTTATAAAAATATCAGTTTCCTCTTCCCTCCTCCCAGTTACCAACTCCCACCTCCCTTCTCCCCCAGATCCACTCCTCCTCCACATCCCTCCAGAAGAGAACAGGCCTCCCAGGGATATCAACTGAACTCAGCATGACAGGTTACAGTAACACTAGGCGCATTCCTTTAGATTGAGGCTGGATGACCCAATAGGAGGAAAAGGGTCCCAAAAGCAGGCGAAAGAGTCAGAGACAGTCCTCACTCCCAGTGTTAGCAGCCCTACAAAAAAGAAACCAAGCTATACAACCATAACATTCGAGAGGACCTAGCACAGACCCATGGAGGCTGATTGTCTCTTCAGTCTCTGTTTGCCACAGTGAGCCCTGTTTAGTTGGCCCTGTGGGTCATGGAGAACTCAATTATTAATTATTTCCTTGGGCTGCCCAATTTGGGGTATGTTATAGTTTCCTTGTTTTGGCAACCTAGATACATAGAATTTTACTTCATTTATCATTACCCTGTCCAAAAAAACCCCTCTGTTCCTACAACTGATAAACAAGTCAGTCCTGGAATGTAAGCTCATAGACTCCTTGTTTGTTTCAATCTATGACTGCTAGTTTTTCTGCTTCCCACTGAGATTCCTGCTCATTCTAATCAATTTATTTTTTTTCTGAATCCTACCAGAATAATTATTTTTCAGGCTTTCGTCTCTGTCTTCTCATAAATGCAACCCCAATTTGACCTGGTTTAGAAAAAGCAACAATATCAGGCTCTACCACAGATGATTGCTGATTTTGAATTTCCTACCTACAAATTCAGCAGTTTCTTAGGTTCAACCTAACCACTGTCTATCAGCAGACAGAACGCCCCTGACATAACGTGAGGATGGTTTTTCCCCTTTGGGGATATTTTAGCCACACAGATATGACATGCAGATTCCTCATGCCTCAGCAGATTGACCTCCTGGATGCTTCCATTCCACTAGAAAAGACAAGCTGGTTTACTCTGGGGTTAAGGCAACTGTAATAAGGATCTGCTGTCATTTGGCAGGGTTAGTTTGATCCCACACCAGAGGAGAATCAGTGGTTGAGTGACCTCTTCGGAATGGCACCATAGCACATTCCCGGTCTCAGAAATGTTCTTTGATAACAACTGTTGCGACAGTAGCTCTGGGTGCCTCTCAATCTCCGTAGCCCCGTAAAAACTGGAAAGTAAATGAACTGAAATTGTGTTTTCAAAAAAATCAACATTATTTTCCCTATTTCCTCTTAACTTTTTTTGGAAAAAAAATATCGAGTAAGTAACGTTAGTCACTAAAAAGCAAACATTTTCCAGATTCCCGTCTGCAAACCGCTCTGCTTCTACTTGACTAGTTTGTTTATGCAGGTGCTGTTTGTGGTGTGTGTGTGTGTGCATGGCCTCATTTTTAGAACATAAAAAGCTTTTCAGAGATGCTTTTATCCCAGGCAGCTGGGTAGTTAGGATTTCCTGGTAGCGTGGCAGCCAGGAAATTCTGACTGTTCTGCCACCAAGTGACAGAATAAAGCTCAATCAGGGCAATTGTCTCCGGCCGTACCCTGGCTCTCTCGAGAAGCATCACTGGCTTCAGCAACAGCAAATCCCCAGGAGCCAGGAGCTGTGGCCTGGAGAAGCTTGGGGGGGGGGGGCACTTGTAATTTCTCTGGAGTGTTTGCTGTATTTTATTTTTAACATGTATGTTTAAAGAATTTTTACATTTTTTTTTATTTAGAGTGCATTTGAGTGCAAGTGTGCATGTGTTGTGGTGCTTATGTGGGCTAAGAAATGCTGTTTCTTAATTCTAAAGTGACTTTGCAATGCTAACCCCTTCCCTTACGTGTTATTTGATTGACAGACGATGCACAAAGTGCTGTTCCGTGATCCTCACACATACACAACAGTACTGAAAACACTTTTCTTACAAAGGGAATGATCTATTTCTGAAGCCTTACTTGTTAATGTAAAACCCGTGTCTCATGCTACTAGTCAGCCCTGGATCTCCAAATACACAGAGTCTGAGCATGCTATCATACCAGAACTTTAAGGCAAAAGCTCCAACTACGGGTGTCACAACGATCTAGGCTCAGTCACCCACAATATGTTAATAAACCAAGAGTGGTGAAGTTCAGGAAAAACATGTAATTGGCATGGCCAAGCTGGGAATACCAAGTAAAGGAAAGTGTGACCTCAAGTTGACCCTCATGGGGATAATGAGGTTTTAATGAAGAGGTTTGGAGTTTTGATGTGGGATTCCCCCTCTGTATGCTATAAAAATGTCTTATTACCGTTGGTTAATAAAGAAGATGCTTTGGCCTAAGGCAGGGCAGAATACAGTTAAGCGAGAAAACTAAACAATGCAGGAGGAAAGAAGGTGAAGTCAGGGAGACGCCATGTAGCTGTGGAAGGAGAAAGATGCCAAAACCTTACCAGTAAGGTACAGCCTCGTGCGATACACAGATTAATAGAAATAGGCTAATTTAAGATGTAAGAGCTGACTAGGAATACGCCTGAGCCATTGGCCAAACAGTGTTGTAATTAATATAATCTTTGTGTGATTATTTGGGTCTGGGCAGCAAGAAAACGTAAGAGCAGTCTCCATTACAGAGATTAACAAACAGAGCAGGTGGTATTCTGGGCAGTGGGTCATTTTCTTTCATGATTCTACACAGAGTTTGGAGAAGATGACAAGGCCATCCACTGAGGGGAGCGACTGTGATTGCTCCTCTAAGGTGCAACTCCACCAGCAGCGTGGTGGCTCTCACCACAGGTCATGTGGTCTGGGAAACCGGCTGCTGTTGATCAGGGGAGTTTTGGAATCTCACCAAAAAGGTGTTTATTCATCTTGAAATCCAAGATAACTTTAGATGAGTGACTGAGGTGAAAAACAGAGATTAAAAAAATAAAGAGAGTGTGGGTTGGGGTGGGGTGAGCATGGTGGCATACACCTTTAACGCCAGCACTCAGAAAGTAGAGGCACGTGGATCTCTGTGTGTTTGAGGCCAGCCAGGGAACGTGGTTTCTCAGTCCCCACTACCTCCCATCCCCGACACACACAGTGCTAGCCATGCCAAAGGATTCGGACTGTTCAAGACATCTCTTTGAATGTGGTTTCTGCTATAGCATGGGTGGTGCACGTGGCCAAACTCACACCCATTCACCAGAGGCAGACTGCTAGAAACCAGGAGTACTGAGGAAAGCAGAGGTGGCTCATCTGCAGTGACACTCGCTCCTTAGGGGGTGACACGACTGGATTACAGGAACCACCACAGAACTGTCATGAGAGGTTTGGCTCTGCATGAGGATGCCTTGTTTACAGGAGATGTGTGCTGGATATGGGTTACCATAACTGTAATAACACAACCAGAAGCAGTTTGGAAAGGGTTTTATTTTAGTTTACAGCTCCACATCACAGTCCTTCACGGAGGGAGATTAGGGCAGGAACTGGAAGCAGGAGATGCAGAGGCTATCAGAGAATGCTGCTTACTGCCTTGATTCCCTTGGTTTGCTCAGCCTGCTCTCTTACAGAATACAGAACCATCAGCCTAGGGGTGGAAACACCCACAGTTAACTGAAATCCTCCCAGAGCAAAATGTACCCATTTTGCCCACAGGTCAATCTGGTTGGGGCACTTTCTCAATTAAATTCTCTCTTCCCAGAAATTCTAGCTTCAGTCCGGACAGCCTGCGGCCATTTGATGTTTTCAGTCTCAGGTGTTGAGGTCTAACTATAAGACCCTCCCCCAGCCCCCGCCAGAGTGGCAGCAATGTGCCTGCTGATCTAGTTACATTTAGTGCATTAAAAATGAATTAGGTTGCCTTTTCTGAGTTTTGTCCACATGTGTATATACAATGTACACATGTTCACGTGTCTAGGTACACTCGTGGATGTACAGATTACATGCATGAAACCCCAAGGTTGATGCTGAATCTTTATTAGTTGTTTTCCCCCTATTTTTTTTCCTATTTTATGTATGTAGGTATTTTATCTGCATGTATGTCTGTGTACCATATGCATGTAGTGCCCATGGGAGCCAGAAGAAAGCATCAGGTTCCTGGAACAGGAGCTGGAGACAGTTGTGAGCTCTATGTACCGGGAATCAAACCTGGGTCTTCTGGAAGCGTATCCAGTGCTGGCAACCACTGAAATATTTCTGAGAGGATGCTATTGGCAAGATTTAAATGAGATCACGAGGAAATAAAAGTTCAGTAAATAATGATTGGTTTTAGAAATGTTTTATTTGTTCCCAGCATATCTTTAAAAAAATTACACATGGGCATTTTTGTTCTAAAACAATACAGTCTATGAAAAACCAATAAAAGGAAATTCTGAACAGACACTACAGCATGAGATATGGATTATGACTTGAGCCCTTGTGGAAACAAATGGCATGGCTCAGTGTGACCTTGACAAGCTCTACCAGAACCTCTCAGAAAGGCTACCTCCCACCTCCTAGCCACTTTTAGACTCTAAATGTGAAGGGAAGAATTGTTGCCTATGCATTAGTTACAGTGGTATAATGGCTGACATATACATTTTACCCACATGTAATTCCCCAAAGATGACTACAGTATTGGCAGAAACATGTACTGCCATGGAGGAAGACTCAGGATAAGATATTATTCAAGTTAAGTTGTATCAGAGCAAATTATTTCACAGGCTCTGAAAAAAAAAACCAACAAAGCTGTATAGAACACACCTACTTCTCACAGGATTTATTATTGCCCAGGAACAAAATACACATTATTCCCAAGGCACCATCACACACACACACACACACACACACACACAGAGAGAGAGAGAGAGAGAGAGAGAGAGAGAGAGAGAGAGAGAGAGAGAGAGAA